CAACTCACTCACCCACCCACGCACCCACACACTCACTCACCAACTCACCCACTCACCCACTCACTCACCCACTCACCCACCCACACTCTCACCCACCCACACACTCACTCACCCACTCACCCACTCACACACTCGCTCGCTCGCCCACTCACCCACCCACACTCTCACCCACCCACACACTCACCCACTCACCCACTCACCCACCCACCCACACACTCGCTCGCTCGCCCACTCACCCACCCACACTCTCACCCACCCACACACTCACCCACTCACCCACTCACTCACCCACTCACCCACCCACTCACCCACTCACTCACCCACTCACCCACCCACTCACCCACTCACTCACCCACCAACTCACTCACCCACCCACTCGTTTGCGAGTGACCACGACATCGGATTCACTCAAATATTTGCCTGGGAATTCGTCTCCCTCCAACCCCTCCCGCTCCCCAAAATGCTGACGTTTAGATGCCGTGCCGGCTATACATTTTGAGGCTGAGTGGACCTAGAGGGGGGATGGGGGGGTCCATGAGGGGTTCAAATATTCTCCACCGTGATTGGCCGTGAACGGGAGCGGAATTGAGGTCGCTGGGTTCGTAGCGCTGAAGGCTGCACTGATGTACCACGTGCATGCACGCACACGTCTCTGTGTGAGTCTGTGAGTGTCTGTGTGTCTCTGTGTGAGTCTGTGCGTCTCTGTGTGAGTCTGTGGGTCTCTTGTGAGTCTGTGGGTCTCTTGTGAATCTGTGTCTCTGTGTGAGTCTGTGTGTCTCTGTGTGAGTCTGTGGGTCTCTTGTGAGTCTGTGCGTCTCTGTGTGAGTCTGTGAGTGTCTGTGCGTCTCTGTGTGAGTCTGTGTGTCTCTGTGTGAGTCTGTGCGTCTCTGTGTGAGTCTGTGTGTCTCTGTGTGAGTCTGTGAGTCTCTTGGTGAGTCTGTGCGTCTCTGTGTGAATCTGTGCGTCTCTGTGTGAGTCTGTGTGCGAGTCTCTATGTGAGTCTGTGGGTCTCTGTGTGAGTCTGTGTCTCTGTGTGAGTCTGTGCGTCTCTGTGTGAGTCTGTGAGTCTCTGTGTGAGTCTGTGCGTCTCTGTGTGAGTCTGTGCGTCTCTGTGTAAGTCTGTGAGTGTCTGTGCGTCTCTGTGTAAGTCTGTGTGTCTCTGTGTGAGTCTGTGCGTCTCTGTGTGAGTCTGTGTGTCTCTGTGTGAGTCTGTGAGTCTCTGTGTGAGTCTGTGCGTCTCTGTGTGAGTCTGTGCGTCTCTGTGTAAGTCTGTGAGTGTCTGTGCGTCTCTGTGTGAGTCTGTGTGTCTCTGTGTGAGTCTGTGCGTTTCTGTGTGAGTCTGTGTGTCTCTGTGTGAGTCTGTGCGTCTCTGTGTGAGTCTGTGCGTCTCTGTGTGAGTCTGTGCGTCTCTGTGTGAGTCTGTGTGTCTCTGTGTGAGTCTGTGAGTCTCTTGATGAGTCTGTGCGTCTCTGTGAGAGTCTGCGCGTCTCTGTGTGAGTCTGTGTGCGAGTCTCTGTGTGAGTCTGTGGGTCTCTGTGTGAGTCTGTGTGTCTCTGTGTGAGTCTGTGCGTCTCTGTGTGAGTCTGTGAGTCTCTGTGTGAGTCTGTGTGCGAGTCTCTGTGTGAGTCTGTGGGTCTCTGTGTGAGTCTGTCGGTCTCTGTGTGAGTCTGTGCGTCTCTGTGTGAGTCTGTGAGTCTCTGTGTGAGTCTGTGTGCGAGTCTCTGTGTGAGTCTGTGGGTCTCTGTGTGAATATGTGGGTCTCTTGTGAGTCTGTGCGTCTCTGTGTGAGTTTGTGCGTCTCTGTGTGAGTCTGTGCGTCTCTGTGTGAGTCTCTTGGTGAGTCTGTGCGTCTCTGTGTGAGTCTGTGCGTCTCTGTGTGAGTCTGTGTGCGAGTCTCTGTTTGAGTCTGTGGGTCTCTGTGTGAGTCTGTGGGTCTCTGTGTGTGAGTCTGTGGGTCTCTGTGTGTGAGTCTGTGGGTCTCTGTGTGTGAGTCTATGGGTCTCTTGTGAGTCTGTGCGTCTCTGTGTGAGTCTGTGGGTCTCTGTGTGAGTCTGTGCGTCTCTGTGTGAGTCTGCTTGTCTCGATGTGAGTCTCTGCGTCTCTGTGTGAGTCTGTGCGTCTCTGTGTGAGTCTGTGTGCGAGTCTCTGTTTGAGTCTGTGGGTCTCTGTGTGAGTCTGTGGGTCTCTGTGTGTGAGTCTGTGGGTCTCTGTGTGTGAGTCTGTGGGTCTCTGTGTGTGAGTCTGTGGGTCTCTTGTGAGTCTGTGCGTCTCTGTGTGAGTCGGTGCGTCTCTGTGTGAGTCTGTGCGTCTCTGTGTGAGTCTGCTTGTCTCGATGTGAGTCTGTGCGTCTCTGTGTGAGTCTGTGCGTCTGTGTGTGAGTCTGTGGGTCTCTGTGTGTGAGTCTGTGGGTCTCTGTGTGTGAGTCTGTGGGTCTCTTGTGAATCTGTGCGTCTCTGTGTGAGTCTGTGGGTCTCTGTGTGAGTCTGCTTGTCTCGATGTGAGTCTGTGCGTCTCTGTGTGAGTCTGTGCGTCTGTGTGTGAGTCTCTGTGTGAGTCTGTGTGTGAGTCTCTGTGTGAGTCTGTGCGTCTCTGTGTGAGTCTGTGGGTCTCTGTGT